AAAGTCCATGGCGTCCAAAAAGCGTCCCTTTACATCAAAAGCGGTTTTAGAACAGCGATAGCAAATCAGAACCACTTGCAGAATTGAGTGATAATGATTCGTGGGGAAATTCGTCATCAGACACTGAAAACGATTTTGTGACTTTGCTCAGCGATGTGCGAATTTGCCTCTGTATTTCAAATTTCAGTGTTTTTGGGTTTGATTATATTATTGAATTAAATGTATTATTGTATTATTATTTTTTATGATTATTTATTAAATTATAATTTATGATTTCGTGTTGCAAATTTTATCATACCCGGGATGTTTACTAGACTCTTGTTTGGACAGATTTCAGAGTTATTCCTAAAAATTACAGCCTACAATAAAAAAACTACATATTTCCATGCAAAAAAATGGTACCGCTTTTAGCACAAAAAATCGGAAAGAATCATACCGCCAGGGAGGTTAATATGGCACCCTCATGCATCAGAAAACTGCACAGGCCAAGTGGCACTAGACGTATTTTACTGTACAGGCCAATGAGAACCTAGCCTTAGACTTCTACATAAAGCTCTGCTTATTGAAGAGAGGTTTTGCAGCAAATCTAACCAAACAAAGATGGCAGACAACACACGCAAGAACAGAACAGTTCCGGGGCTGTGTACCGCCATGGCCAAGATCACTGTCTGATTGTTGCACAAACCTTACCCAGGCGCTGGAGAGAACATTTATTAAGCGAAACAAAAATTCCCTCATTCAAAATGTATTATTTTTCATACTAATGCTGCTAGCATTAGTAAATAGATACGAAGGTAAATCATATTTGGGTTTTTTTTTTTTTTTTTCATATTTCTTCAGTTGCTTCCTGGTTTCTGGCCTAGGCCAAAAATATGTCATACATTAAAAAAATCCACATGAGCCTTTTTTTTTTTTCACGTGGAGAAGGGGCTCTCTCATCTAAGCACATTCTCCTGACAGCATACCTGAGCTAAGGGCAGATGGATTCCAGGAAGTAAATGCTAAATGAATCTTCTGCCCTTACTCAAAATGGCTGCGGATACAAATGCTAAAAGGATGTTTTTCAAAGCGATTCCTCAGCAAAACAAAGCATGGAGACATAGATGGACGGGTGAGGTGGTTTCAATATTCAAAAATAATAAATAGAGTTTTGCGGTGCTCAGTTTAGTTCTGCTTTAGCCTAGGTTTACACTATGCACCACATGTGAATCGCACAGGACTTGCACCGTATTCCTGTGCAATTCACATACGATTCAGTGCACTGCGATTTCAGACCATTCATTCTGAAGTGCTGGCACATTTTTTGGAGCTGCACTGCAACCGCGTCGCAGTTTGTACCATGCAATCTGATGCAGGCAAACTACACTGCGATTGCAATGCATTTGGGGTGTCGTTAAACTTCTATTGAAACCCACAGCGGATCGCAAACACAGTGTGAGCGCAATGCAGCGTGGGAAATGCACAGGAATCACAGCGTTGCCTGCATCGCATATGTATGAACTGGGGCTTAAGGGCCAGTTCACACCAGAACGCGGTGCGGGAAACCCGCATTCCATGCACATTTCTCGCATTGCCTTCAAAACGCACTGCGCTTGTGATCTGCAGCAGGTGTCAGTACCAACTTAACGACACCCCAAACACAGGTCACAATTGCAGTGCGTTTGCCTGCACCAAACTGCATGGTACAGTAGTAATATGCATAGTTACTTAGTCTAATTGAAAAAAGACAGAAGTCCATCTAGTTTAACCAATAAAAGAGAAACATTTAAAAAATGTTATATATATTCCTATATACACAATCCTATACCCACAGTTGATCCAGAGGAAGGCAAAAACCCCCAGCAAAGCACGATCCAATTTGCTCCAGCAGAGGAAAAAAATCCTTCCTAATCCCAGAAGAGGCAAATCGGATATTTCCTGGATCAACTTTAGAAATAAATATTAGTATCCAGTTATATCATGTACATCAGGGGTCTCCAAACTTTCTAAACAAGGGGCCAGTTTACTGTCCTTAAGACTTTAGGGGAGCCGGACTGTGGCTAATGGAATGTCCTGGTGTCAGAAGGAATAAACAATGCCACAGCTTCAGCAGGAGGCATTGTGCTCCATCATTCGTGTCAGTGGGAGGAATAGTGCCCCATCGCTGTTGTCAGTGGGAGGAATAGTGCCCCATCGCTGTTGTCAGTGGCAGGAATTGTGCTTCTATAGGTGTTGTCAGTGGGAGCAATCATGCCCCATTACTGGTGTCACTGGGAGGAAATAGTGCTCCATTGTTGGGGTAAGTGGCAAGAGTTATACCCCCATTGTTGGTGTCAGTAGGAGGAATAGTGCCCCAAACGCCAAATAAAGGCAAGCAAAGGGCCACATCCAGCCCCTGGTTCACAGTTTGGAGACCACTGATGTACATTTAGGAAATAATCCAGGTCAATTTTTTTTAAAACAATCTACTGAGCTAGCCAGAACCACCTCTTGAGGGAGTCAATTTTACATTTTCACAGCTCTTACTCAGTGGCAGGAATTATGCTTCTACTGGTGTTGTCAGTGGGAGGAATAGTGCCCCATCACTGGTGTTGTCAGTGGGAGGAATAGTGCCCCATCACTGGTGTCAGTGGGACGAATAGTGCCCCATCACTAGTGTCAATGGGACGAATAGTGCCCCATCACTAGTGTCAATGGGACGAATAGTGCCCCATCACAATGGTGTGCCCCATCACTGGTGGGAGAAATAGTGCCCCATCACTGGTGTCAATGGGAGAAATAGTGCCCCATCACTGGTGTCAATGGGAGAAAATAGTGCCCCATCACTGGTGTCAATGGGAGAAATAGTGCCCCATCACTGGTGTCAATGGGAGAAATAGTGCCCCATCACTGGTGTCAATGGGAGAAATAGTGCCCCATCACTGGTGTCAATGGGAGAAATAGTGCCCCATCACTGGTGTCAATGGGAGAAATAGTGCCCCATCACTGGTGTCAATGGATGCATAGTGTTCTATTGTTGGGGTAAGTGGCAAGAGTTATACTCCCATTGTTGGTGTCAGTAGGAGGAATAGTGCCCCAAGCGCTAAATAAAGGCAAGCAAATGGCAACATCCAGCCCCTGGGCCACAGTTTGGAGACCACTGATGTACATTTAGGAAATAATCCAGGTCTTTTTTAAAACAATCTACTGAGCTAGCCTGAACCACCTCTTGATTGGGTCAATTTTACATTTTCACAGCTCTTACTGTGAAGAAACCTTTCCATATTTAGAGAATAAATCTCTTTCTCCAGATGTAAATAGTGTCCCTTTGTCCTCTATGATGACCTTAAAGTGAATAAGTCTACACCGAGTTCACTATACGGACCACGCACAGCAGTCTCCTGTGCCATTCATGGTGTGAAGTATCCCTAAAATGTTACGGTTATGATCTGACAAATACAGACTCTGCTCTCCAGTGTACACCTTTGTAACTCACTAGGAACATTGGCCAGAAATTAGGTTGACATTTTAGTAGCAGTTGCCTGAGTCAACAATCCAATGGCCAACCCTCCTCCCTCCTTCAATGGCATGTGAGTAGCCATATGGGACTATGTGTGTATACCCCTGGAGGAAAGTCATTGGAATTAGTGATCAGGAATCATTTCTCCTCCAGGACTGGGTACCTGATATGTGTACACAGATTTTACTATGTCTGCCCAATGTTTACTTTTGCTTTGTTGCTACAGCAAGATCCGCCTGCAAATCTGAACAGACAATGGAGCACAATCAGCTGAGCCGCCATGATGTTTGTTCTGGTTCAGGAAGCAATGAGGAATGTGCCTCAAACACAGCAAGAAAGAGCAGCTCTACTGTTAGGTGGTAGATAAACAATACAACATGCCATTCAACCCTTCTGACATCTCAATAGGAAACTGGAACAATAAACCCGCAATGTCACTGACAAAATATGTAGGCTTTGCTGTGCGTGTCGACTGATGGGAATGCCACAGACGCCTGGTACCGTGCTGTCCCAACTGTCAACAATCATTTAAAGAAGAACTCCACGATAGGTCAAAAAATCACCCATTACTACACCCCCTACACAAAACACTAAACAGTTAATACAATTTTGAAAAATCTTACCATTTAGGAAAAAAGTCTAATTGAATTCTCGTGACCTCATCTCTGTAATTCAAAAGGTAACAGCATCTGCTCTGCCAAGGAGGGGGTGTAACATCGGGGATTACATCATATCCTCTCCTCTCTCTCTGCAGTAAAAAGAAACTACAGTTCCCATCAACCACAAGGAACTGTAGTGAATGCGGGCAGGTACATTAGGCCTGTACACGTTGAATGTGTCTGAAAATCTCAGTCCACCCATCACTGTAAGTGGGGCTGTACTGCTTCCTGGAAAAAGAACTACAGAAGGGATTTGCCAAGACCAGTGGCTGGGGGAATAGGAGGCATAGCAGCAACTAGTCTTACAAACAGGAAACTAAAGAAAATTAACAGCTGTTTGCATTCCAAACATGGTGTCAGAAGATACAATTTGCAAAACTAATTGAGGCTCCACGAATGCCATCACTTCTGGGCCCGTTCTGACATCACGTCCGACCTGAACTTCCAGTGTTTGGGACGCACATCGGCTCCAAGTTGGAGATACGGCAGTGCTAGCAATTTCTAAGGCTGTTTACATTGGTGCCGAGGCTGGGCACTTTTGGAATACCATTTTATATGCTTTTATTTAATAAAATACAACACTTAGTTCATATTTCTCTGGTGGTCTAATGTTGTGGTGTTCCTGGTGCGACTGTAAGAGGATAGGATGATGTCTCAGAAGATCTACCAATCAATGATGTGATTGATTTGGAGGTGTATTTGATTAACCCCTATTATTGACCTTTATTGAGTTAGAGGTCACTGGATTGGCATGTATAAAATCAAGCACCTAGGCATGTAGACTGCTTCTACAAACATTTGTGAAAGAATCTCAGGAGCTAAATTAATTCAAGTGTGGTACCGTGATAGGTTGCCACCTGTGCAATAAATCCATCCGTGACATTTCCTTGCTACTAAATATTCCACGGTCAACTGTTGGTGGTATTATAACAAAGTGGAAGCAACTGGGAACAACATCAACTCAGCCATGAAGTGTTAGGCCCCGTAAAATGGCAGAACGGGGACAGCGCATACTGAAGCGCACAGTGCATGGAAGTCGCCGACTGTCTGCAGAGTCAATAGCTAAAGACCTCCAAATTTGGCTTTCGGATTAGCACAACAACAGTGTGTAGAGAGCTTCATGGAATGGGTTTCCATGGCCGAACAGCTGCATCCAAGCCTTACATCACCAAGTGCAATGCAAAGCGTCGAATGCAGTGGTGTAAAGCACACCGCCACTGGACTCTAGAGCAGTGGGGACGTGTTCTCTGGAGTAACGAATCACGCTTCTCTGTCTGGTAATCCGATGGACATGTCTGGGTTTGGCGGTTGCCAGGAGAACGATACTTGCCTGACTGCATTGCGCCAAGTGTAAAGTTTGGTGGAGGGGGGAAATTATTGTGTGAGGTTGCTTTTCAGAGGTTGGGCTTGGTCCTTTAATTCCAGTGAAGGGAACTCTTAAGGCATTAGCATACCAAGACATTTTGGACAATTTCATGTTCCCAACTTTGTGGGAACAGTTTGTGGATGGCCCTTTCCTGTTCCAACATGACTGCACACCAGTGCACAAAGCAAGCTCCATAAAGACATGGATGAGCAAGTTTGGGGTGGAGGAACTTGACTGATCTGCGCAAAGTCCTGACCTCAACCCGATAGAACACCTTTGGGATGAATTACAACAGAGACTGTGAGACGGTCCAAATACTTTTGGTTGTATATTGTATGTTTTTCTACATGGAGTGTTGGCATCTGCTTTGCCTTGCTACAGGAAGGTACCTTGAACTTTCCCTTTTGGCCCTAGCTGGGCTTAGAATAAAGGAAAAAAAAAAAAACAAAGTCTCTCTGAAATAGACAATGCTCCATGAAATTTACACCCCGGCAGCCGTGCCATAGTGGGGTTACTGGGTCAACTTTGTGTGCCCCCACTGACTCACAAGCTCAGCAGGATCCTCCCAAGTGAACAGTAATTGTCAGCCCCATAAAATGACTTTCTAGCTGTGAGGTTTTCTTCCCCATCTAAAAAACAGCCTTGTTAAATGAAAAGTACATGGAGAAAAATATACCTGTGATTATTAAAAGGGAAAAAAAAAACAGATGCGTGAAGTTCGTCCACACTGGTATATTATGTAATTCGGACCACCACTGGCCAGGCAAACAAAAGAAACAGAATGCATCAAAACACAGCTTGCCGAGGTTTTGTCGGCTGAATTGTGGCAATTGTCACTGATCAAACTCTGCTTCAATTTTCCCATCAGCCTAGCGGATGGCCCAGACATCCCACAAAAGGCTCCATCATCAGGTGACAATGAGTTTCATGAGCGGTGTCTAGAAAAGAGAAATGCTGATAAAAGTGATGAAATAACGCTCATCACACCAGTCACTCCTGACATTTACACCAACTGCACGTTCACAGATGTGAGCACCGAGGACAATCAGGTATACCTCTAATACACCATTTAAAGGTTAGGTCTAAAGCTGACATTTCAGCTCAGGACTGGGAGATCAGAGGACAGGCCAAGGGAGGTCATCCCTCCCACTAAATGGGGAGCAGCAATCTATAAAAGGTCCTCCCAGTCAACTCTTCATAGGTGTAGAAAAAATGGCAGTTGGGAGGGTAAAGCTGACCATACATTAAACAATTTTCTTGTTCATTTTTGGTTTAGGTTTGACCTCATATTTATGGTTTTGCTAAATCTAAAGTAAAATTGTACAAGAAAATTGTATAATGTGTGGCCAGCCTAAGCAATCTTAGTACAGGAGAGGGGACTGTCTGAGGCTAGGTTAACATGTACGCAGGTTGCGGTTGATGGGCTAGAGTTAGGGTTAAATGTTAAAGGGTAGCACTTAACCCGAACATACGACTTTGGATACAAAGGTTCCTGCACTACTTGGATGCTACTTGAGTGATAGAGAGTGTAAAGCCGCATCAAAGTCACACTACATGAACGCAACTGTCATACTTACTTATTAGCCCAAAAAAACATATAAAAAAATACAACACTTGCGTTTTTGGTGTGAGTCCATTGAAGTCTATTACACACAAAATGCAATCTGCTGCAGGAAAAAAAGTCCCTGACCATGTCCAAAAAATGCACCAGCTTAAAACGCACAGATGTGATATAGAGCCATAAGAAATCAAGTTAAATGGACTGTAGTGCGTTTCTGCAAACTGGAAAACACACCCAAATCCTCATAAGCCTGAACCTAGGGTAACTGGGCACAGTGTAATGTGAACACTTCAATTGTGAGCTTTTTGGCCCCAGATGGGATCAGGAATTTTCGAAAATTGGATTACACTATATGGTAAATATGGGAATTGATCGGAGAAGTGTGCAGTGAGTTATTGAAAATTGTCAATTCCAAAATCAATAAAGAGAGTGGACGGGTCTAATAAAAACCAAGAGATGTAATGTGCAGCAGCTGCAGCCATGGTCTCCCCTTGTTAATCACCCAGCTGGACAGCAATCTGAAGAATTAGGAGCTGATACAATTCTGCATAATATAATAAAACTTCTATTACAGAACAGTCTGTGGATAGGACAAAATGCACCACTGTACTAATACATAGAGGAAATTCTGTTCACGCTGCTGAGACTTGATTGACCTAACCCCCATTCAACCAATACAAGAAACAGAACATCGCACTGACTGACAGCAGCTGTACCCGGGAAGAACAAAGCAACTAAACAGGCAGAAAAAAGGTCATAATGGTACCAGGGTGTAAGATGGCCATGCTAAAAAAAAAAAAAAAAAAAAAAAATCATCATCAGTGGACTCTTATTGGTCAAATATGAGCTGTATAAAAAATATATATATTTATCGTCAGTATTTGCACACATATCGATCAGATGCATTATCACAGGACAAAATAAAATAGCCTGTCCATACACAGCCCAATAATAGCTAGTAGCAGCAACAGATTGTACCATTCTGCACAACAGCTGTTCAATTATTGGCCCATATAGAAGTTAAATCAGAACTCCAGCCACTGATATCAAGATATAAATGAATCGCACAGTAAAGGATATAAAAGAAAGCAAACTTTTCCTGAAATATACAGCTTTAATCCAGAGATTTCCCCTGCAGCACGTTTTCTGCCTCTAGATGTCCTCAATCTGATAACCAGCATCATTAAACTCACTTCCTCTGAGCCCACGTTGTTCTGGACTTGCCCCAGCCTGTGACTGGGCAGTGAATACAGAAGCAGCACACTGATGAGATCATCAGTCAATCTGCTTTCTCCTCCCATTCATGGACTGCTTCTTCCACTCCCACCCCAGCCCTGCTGCTTTGGGTATAGCATGGGGCATGCTGCTATTCTACAGTCCCTTCTCACTTAAATCACAGGGTGCTTTCCTTGTAGAATTCTGAATATTTTGTATTTCAGTGTGGTCGTGCGTGGCTGCGTCTGCACCTCTAGGTTATCCATTCAAAAAAAAAAACACCTGCCACTGTGGCACAGAGGCACATAGTTCTCGTTGAAACACAAGTGTGGTCATGTCAGTAAATTGTAGCCCATTTTTTACCTCCTGTAGCCCCCTAACTGAAGGTCTGTGCTTCCATATGGACCTGGGGATGGAAGAGTGGCCTACAGGGGCCTGATTGTGGCTGCAATGCTTTGCTGGTTCCAATTAAACAAATTAATAAAATGCCCATTTTTCCTTTTTGTAATATAGGTGCTTTAGTATTTTGTTTTGAGAAAGGCGGAATTCTCCTTTAATCACGTCCCATAAAAGAAAACCAGAATGTTAAAAAAAGGCTAGGTTTACACCAATGTGGGTTATGGTTGATGCGGTTTCCCAGTGCGTTTTGTGTTTTTAATGCTTTTTTGGGAGGTGTTTTTTAGGAGGTGTATTAAAAAGCAAGCACTGCGTTTTTGATGCGTTTCAATTAAATTCTATGGCACCAAAAACGCAACAATCTGTGGGCAAAAAAAGTCCCTGACTCTTTCCAAAAAATGCACCGGGTGAAAACGCAGATGTGAACATGACCCATAGGAAATTATGTTGACTGTAGTGTGTCAGATCTCTTACTTTCTCAAAAAGCAATCAGACAGGTTGGCAAACCAATTTATTATTATAATTTTTTTTTTTTTTTTTTTTACAAAAGTAGAATAGGCCTTTAAATGCTACATAAGCGGGAAACAAGTAACAAGAGGATGTGATTCTTCCCAGAGGCACAGTGAAAGGGCCACTAAAAGGAATATCACTGCACAAAACTAAAATGAATAAAGAATCTAGGGCTTTCATACAGTTGTATGGGACTTTTTTAAAAAATATTTTAATTATCTATTTTGTATTGAAAATAAAAAACTAAAATGCACTTATTATATTGTATTATTTATTATTTTGATGCTACAATGAAAGTTCTAGGAATGTATTTGTACATACTCCAACTGGATGGATAACAGCACATTGCAGCAATCCAATCCTCTATCTGGTCCTTGGACACAGAGAGGGACCACGATCATTAGATGTAATGAAGCTCGGTAATATGGATCCCAGCCAAGGCCAATTAGACCAAAATGAAGATGACACGGGTGCAATACAATTAGCTCTTTCATCCTCCTCCACTTCATGTCTGTAAATAGGAGAATTGTTTTCATATCTTCCTATTGTCATTGTAGTTACTCCATTGCACCTTTGTACCCCTGCAGCCAGAACAACATCCTTCTACCAAGGAAAACAAACACAGAGCCAATGGCCAGACCGCACTACACGGAAAAACTGCACCTTCAGAAGAATGGGAGGAGAGGAGCAGTGTACATAGTAATTAACCGATAAACCAGCAGCACAGCAGCTAAATGGTTAGCACTTCCGCCTGGCAGTACTAGGGTCATTGGTTCAAATCCCAACCACGGCACCACCTGCCTGGAGTTTGCATGTTCTCCCTGTGGCTGTGTGGGTTTCCTCGGGTTTTCCGGTTTCCTCCTACACTCCAAAAGACATGCTGGTAGGTTAACTGGATCCTGTCAAATAGGCCCTAGTATGTGTATGTATGAATGTAAGTTAGGGACCTTAGATTGTACGCCCCTTGAGGGTTAGGGACTGATGGGAATGTACAATATATATGTAAAGCTCTGCTATATAAGCTATATAAGTTCCTGAAATAAACGTCACTGACGGTTTTTAAATGTAATCAGCGGCTTTTTTTTCTCCTTTACTATAGCTCCGAGAACGAGCTGTCATCATCTCCTCCGTTAAGGGGTGGGGTCACCCTGTGACATTACTCACCGATCCCATTGGGTGA